CAGATGCTTATCTAATTCCCTCTTGAAGCTGTCCATGCTTGTAGCTGCCACCACCTCCTGTGGCAGTGAATACCATGTGTCTGTAACTTCACTGTCAGCTGTTCACACAGACTGGGGTCCCCTACCTTTTTGAGGTCACAGGCGCTATTGTAATTCTGACACACCAAAGTGACTGAAGAAGAGAAGAGGAGGGATTGGATTTATACCCTGCCCTTCACTCAGAGCCTCAGAGCGGCTTACAATCCCTTTCCCTTCCCCACGACAGACACCCTGTGAGGTAGGTGGGGCTGACAGAGCTCTCTCGAGAACTGCCATTGAGGGAACAGCTCTCAGAGAACTTGTGACTGACCCAGGGTCACCCAGCTGGCTGCATGTGGAGGAGTGGGGAATCAAGCCCGGTACTCCCATATTAGAGTCCGCGCTCCTAACCACGACACCAAGCTTACCTTCAGTCACAGTGAAGTTCCTTGTGCTGTGGAGGCAGCTGCTGCCCAAGCAGTATTTTTAAAGGTATGCAAAGTTAATCAAATTTCCGAATGGCCAGTCAGAAGCCTTGCTGGGAAAAGCCCTACCTGCCCCCAGCCACCTTCTAAAAACACTTAGCAAGCGTTAGGAAAGGTGTAGGTGGTCCCCTGACGTAATACAGTTTAGGCTAGAAAAGTCTCCGATCTGATTGCCATGGTCTGCTGAGATGGGTGTGCAGGGATTTAAAACATCCCTGACTAAGCATGGCTCTTTGGAATTCAAAGTAGACTTCTGGTCCTGTCTTGATTTGTGCCACACCCCTTTAACCAGTGCAGACCTGAACGGCACAGTGCTCCGGGGCTGTCAACCTAGAGAAGGCAACCGACAGTCACGCAGTATTTAGGGCTGGCATTTATGCTGTCGTGTCGATGTCCTTGATTGCCGAATTGTACGTCTTCCCTCTTTGCTGAGGAACAGCGTGCTCGGAGGTGGTGTGCCACATCAGGGTGAGTCTTTTGTAGCAGTGGCACTGTACCGAGGGTCAGAGATGGCATCCAGCCCTTGTATATTTTACCGCACTGTGGTGTAGCGGTGGGCAACGCTGCAGGTCCCAAAGCCTGGGTGTAACGTGGGGTGGGGGTCCCAGGGTTTGGTGGGATAAAATGACTCCCTGAAGGCTTTTTTGCCTATATTGAAGGAAATTCCCCAGCAGAATGTGAGCTTTGTCCTTGGGATGAGAGTGTTTGGGAGAGGGAGGGTTTTTGTAAATGTGCATTTTTTTTAAATGCCCAGAACTGTCTTTGTACATTTGTAACTTGACCCTTGGTGTTGCTAGTTGTTCCTCCAGGAAAGCTTGTAAAACAGAGAGTTGGAATAACAGTCTTTTTAGAGTGTCTTGTTTGACCTTTGTCACTGAAATGAAATGAAGCTCAAAAGCCGCCCACTGACTTTGGCACTTCCTCTTGTCTTGCAGGGAAGCAGCGCTGAAATTGAGTGTTCTTCTTAATTGCTACCCTAGCAAGCTGTCTGTTCTCCTCAGCACTCAAACAGTTGCTTTGACATAGTTTTAAAAACATCCGTGTTCTTTTTCTCACTTTTCTGTCTGCAAGGGGAAATGACCAAGAAAAACCAACAAATAACAACTGTGTACTGACCAACCCACCCAAGAATTTCTGTATTTTTGTATTGTCCTATGATGGATTACATGCATTGAATTGTATTGAAGTCTCTTTTCTATTGCTCTTGGGTGGGTTGGTCAGTACACAGTTGTTATTTGTTGGTTTTTCTTGGTCATTGTTTACTGTGGACTGTATTGTTGTTGTTGTAGCTCTTAATGACTTTCTCTAGAGGTGTTTTTCTCCCTTTTCTGTCTGCAAGGGGAAATGGACTTTGGATATATTTTTCTGAAAAGATGTCATTGGTGTGTCATCCAGGGTCAGTTTGGTGTAGTGGTTAGGAGCACGGACTAATCTGGGAGAACCAGGTTTGATTCCCCACTCCATCTCCACATGCAGCTACTGGTGTGGCCTTGGGTCAGTTACAAGTTCTCTCAGAGCTGTTCTCTCAAGGGCAGTTCTCGAAAGAGATCTCTTAGCCCCACCTGCCTCACAGGGTGTCTGTGGTGGGGAGGGGAATGGAAAGGAGATTGTAAGCCACTTTGAGACTCCTTTGGGTAGTGAAGGGCGGGGTATAAATCCAGTCCGTCTCTCTTCTTCTCGTCTTAATTTTTGTTTTTGCTTTTTTCATTCCATTGCTATCTGAAGCACAGCTGAAGACCTTCTAGGCCAGGGGTGTTGAACTCATTTGTTATGGAGGGCTGGATTTGACATAAATTGGACTTTGTTGGGCTGGGCCATGTGTGTCATAAAATGTAATGCCAGGTAGCAGAGATATAAACTTTATAAAGGACACAAACACAAAGATTTTTTTAAACGTAAAGAACATGCTTGAAACATTAGCATTCTTGCAATATTTTGTTTATTTAACAGCCTCTGATAACTGACACTTTTCTTCCTCTGAATTATTGCATCAAAACATCTGTGCTGTAGCAATGGGGGAGGGGGAGGAGCCTCAGCCCAGTGCGGGGAACAGAAGCTTGCCTATCTATCTCTCCTGAGCGATTGAGAGAGTCTGGGAAAGCAAACTTTCTGGGAGGAGCCTCAGCCCAGTGCGGGGAGCAGAAGCTTGCCTATCTCTCCTGAGCGATTGAGAAAGTCTGGGAAAGCAAGCTGGGAATGCAGCAGCAGCAGCAGCAGAACTGGAGGAAGAAGCAGGAGACAGCCAGTCCCTTGCAGGCCCGATAGAAGCCCTCTGGGGGCCTGATCCGGCCCCCGGGCCACATGTTTGACACCCTTGATCTAGGCCCTAGGTTGGCAGTATTTAAGGCTGCACTGATGATGTAGCCAGATAAGGCGGTCACTTAACTTGTACGCTACTTATACAGTGGGGAATGTAACCTGGCATTTCCTTACACCATAAGTTGGAGAGCTACAGGTGCAACCTGCCACTTAGGTATCTGCTCTGATGGATAACAGACGGCACCTCTGAAATCGTGTCTCTAGTTTGGGCAGCATAAAACCCTTCCTCCCTGTTGTCTCTCAGTTATCTTTTGGGCCGATCTATAAGCTCGTGTCATACTGAGGTGACGGGGGCTCTGGGGTTTGAACCGGGGGTCTGCCTGGCGGTATGCACTTCCTCCTTCCGAATGGGAGGACTCCCACAGTCGAAGTGGTGTTTCCTTGGACGTAAGGGCCACTAAATCCAAAGAGGTCTGCTGCTGTGTGAGCCTATACAGGACTGCAGCGGGTGGAATGGTCCGAAGGCCTGTGGCACCGCTGTGCTGCAGCAGGAGTGAAGCAGGCCTCTGGTCTCGCAGGCTACTCGGACGACCGTCTCGGAGGCAGGCCCGGACTGGCCTGTCCACTTGCCGGGAAAATCCCCGGACGGTCGGTGCCATGGAGGCCCACTGGTGGCCAGGAGCAATCGGGGTGCCATAGCTGGCCCCCGCCTCTGTTCGTCAGCCTCCTCCTTAACCTGCCCATGAGACGGAAGGACAGTCCAGAGAGCACGTTTTAGATTAAATTATAGATGCCATCTGAAGACGGTGGAATTAGGATGAATTGGCTTGTTGATTTTAAACTGTATTTTTGCATGTTTTGATCCGTTGTAAATCATCTAGAGCTCTGTGTACTCAGGGATGGGGTGATTCACAAATTCAATAAATCATTATCATTATTATTATTGTTATTATTATTATTATTATTAATAATAATAATAATAAAAAGAAGAAGAAGAAGAGATTGGATTT